GGAAGTAGTGTGACTGGAGATCTGATAGGAAAGATGGTGAAGATGGGTCCAGGACTGGCATTGGCGCTGACGGCTGGGGGAAGTGGAAGGTTTCGAGAGTAGCTGGGTCAAGGGAGGGCCGTTCAGAGGCCGGGTGGAGGTCTTCTGGGAGGGTGGGTGGAGCGAGATCTTCATTACGGGGATGCGACTTGGATGATGGTTTGGGTAGAGAATGAGACTGTGCACTTGGTGTAGAAACCGGTGCAGACGGAGGAATGTCGAACGAAACTGAATTTTTTGGTTTGGACTTTTCGTCGGCCGCCGGTGCCGGCGGTCCAAATTTAGTTTTTTGGTCCTCTTCAATGTTTGCCCTGCGGAGAAAACGTTCCAGAAGTCCTGGATCCATCTGTTCCATCAGCTCCTCTCGCTCCTTTTGGATCTGCGCGTCCGACATGGCCGCCAGGTGACGGCGGTTCTCCACGTCAATGGATTTCTTGTCATCTTGGGCAGTCGGTTCAGTAGGGACTGGAGCCGGGGGAGTGGACTGGTTTGCTCGTCGCTGTTTGAAGGAAGAGGGCTTGCGCTGGCGAGGGGCAGGGAATCCAGTCGATGAGGTCGGCAGTTTAGGCGCGGGGGGAATGGCCGTGGAGGGGGCCCGTTCTTGGATCTCGCCGATGAGAGAGAATGGAGAGGGAATTTCTGTAGCACCAGATTCCTCATCTAGGTCGAGAAGGAAGCGTTCACCGCGAAAAGCCATGATGCGTAAATAAGGTGAAAAGGAGAGAAAAGGAAAGTTATGTCAGCGCGGGGAGATCCAGGATGCGGCTCCCAAAGCTAAAATGGGGCTGCAGAACAGACTAATCATAATGGGCTAGTGTGAGATGGCGGATGTGCTAGTCCCAATTAGGTTCGTCACATTGATCCGGAGCATCTATACAGCTCGCATCGAGGATCCTTCTATGCTAGATATGACGGGTTGAATACTGATCAGGTCATTCAGATCGATTGTATAGTAAGAAGCATGTTGGCTTTCTTTCCCACTTAAACTAAAAGTATTTTATGAACATCGAAGTCGATATCTCTGGTAACTATCATAAGCTTCCACGGAAATACACAAGCAGGATGAACACTACGATGACTTGTATTATCTATAAAATAATAGAAACAAGAAGTCTAAGTCAGACCTATATATGTAAACCTCAAACTGTGGTGAGCACCTGATCTGAAGAACACGGGATCAGGTAAATGAAGCCATCCCTGTATCAGGTACGGAGTACAACTTACGGTTCTAGGCGAAAACGATCCGCAGGGGAATATTGGATATGAGATCCAATACTCAACAATGACCTCAAAAGATAATTCGACAAGAAATATTGTCGAGGTATAGCTCTATGATAAGTCTATGTACGAGATAGTAATTCCCCCATATATCCAAGTACTATAGAGCTTGACAATATCAAATTGCAGTTATCCAGTACTTT